TTTTTTTATTCAATTATAAATGAGAAGACGTTTCACTAGTCAAAAGAACACTAACGCAAAAGCAGAGATTACGGTTGGTTATAACGTAAATGATGATAAATCACGAATTATTCAAAATGTTAAAGTTAATGTTAGCCCTGAATTAACAAAGTCAGCAACTCAACCAAATTTATTAACTCGTGACTTACCAAAGAAAGAGGAGGAGCAAAATAAAGAAGATGGAGACCCAATCATTTTATCTGAACCCGGTAAAGAACCCGTTGAAATCCCCACTTATCCAACATACCCCCACCTCTTTCATCAAACATCGAGAACCCAGGAATCTACGATTACAGTCGCAATGCGCCATATAAAATAGACATTAATTCTGAATTAATGAAAATTTACCGTGATATAATAATTAATAATTATGATTCAATAATAAATTTAATTGATCAATCTGGTTTAATTATTTTACCTTATGAATCATTAATTCACATTATCGCCATTCTTTGTGATGTTCAAGATTCAGACGTTAAGATTCAATTTTTCATAGATGATGAGGTTTCATGCTGCGGAACAGTTGCAAAAATAAATCCTATAAAGGATATTAGCACAATTAAGATATCAAAGAACGGAACAACAACTGAACTTCATTTAACATATAATGATATTTATAATAAAATAGTTGATGAATATAAAATATCACTTGAAAAATTCTTTGTTAAGGCTATTTAATATTCAAGCATTAACATTATTGAATAATAATCCTTTGAATCATAATCAATAATAATTGACCTTTCACCAGTTTCTATCGTTTGTTTTATTTCTTTTTGTTCCCCACTATCTGGATCGGTCATTGTAATTGTTTTTGTTATAGTATCAGCTTTATCTTTAACTTCAATCTTTTTTCCATCAGGATATTTAAACCAAAATTCCAAAAATTCGATATTGTCAATCTGTTCATATTTTAATCTATCAATTACATTTTTAATACCATCTGAAAATCTTATGAAATGGTCATTATATGGGTTTGATTGAACTAAATTTGAATGAAGTGAAATATAACCCGATGATGAATATGACATTGACTCATATTTTCTGAAAACACTAAAATTTATAACATGAATGAATTTCTTATTCGTTGAATTTATGAATTCTTGAGGTAATCTTATTCTAGTTTTATTTATCACTGGAAAATAACGCTTTACCATATTTTTAATCGTAATAAAAATGTCAATTATCAATATTATTTCGAATAATAACTGTGAATTAAATTTAACAGTTAGCGGAATTTATAATGTTACTCTCGTTTCTGTGAGTGGTAAATTTAATCCCATTCTTTTAGACCCTTCAGATTATATATCATTTATTAAAGATGACCTTGAAAAAACGTATGATATGTATATAAATAATGTGATAACGAAATGGGATATTAACATGATTTTAAGTTATTTAAATGAATCATTTATCGTATGGTATGAAGAAAATTTTAAATCAAAACCCATAAACTTTTTGAACTTGATGAAATAAATAACCTTATTAAATTTCCGCTGAAAATTAAATTTTGTACTCCTCATCTTCGTTCATTGTTGGGGATATTAAATTTTGAAAAAGATGTTGGGGATGTTTTGTATTCTGACACTGGTTCCAATTTCATTTTAATCAAATGTGATAAAGTTAATACCCCAATGAGATTTTCACATCAAACATTAGACCCTAACTCTTACCCATCAATACAAAACATTTTATCCATCAACTTAAACATATTTTCTTTATCATATCCGTTTCAATTATCGGGAATTCATTTATTCTTCATTCAAAAGATTTATCAAATATTAAATTTAGAATAACCGACCTATTTGATTGTGATTTAGAATTCATGAATGAAATATTATGGCAATTTCAAATAGAAAAAATAGCTGATGAGATAACAGATTAAATATTTATTTTTAAATCATAATAAATGATTAAACAACAGCAACCACAACAACTTAAGGCACAGACCATTACATACGCCATATATGCATATAATTCAAAGACGCAGAACAAACGCAAATGTTGAAATATGGAGATTTGGAGATAGTATTGAAAAATGACCATTTCGAATTCGTTTGCAAAGGTGGTGCAGTGATATCAAATATAAAAGAAATTTTATTTATGAATTCAAAAATTAAAGGAATAACGGATGATATAACATCAATTCCACCAGAAGAACAAAGATATTACGCATTAAATGCATTTCCTAAAGTTTTGAAGATTGGAAGATTTAATTTAAATGAGGAATTCATAAAAGGTTTCCTAAATGACATAATGAAGAAAGCAGATAAGGAATACGTGGATAGTGAGTTAGAGGAGAAAGCAGATAAGGGACTTGTGGCTAGTGAATTAATGAAGAAAGCAGATAATGAATATGTTAATGAAAAAGATAATGAAATTATAGAAAGGGTTGAATGGTATCATGAACGGACATCGAAGATTCTTAAAACTAAAGCTGATACAGGATGGGTTTCAGAATGTTTAGACCTTAAAGCAGATAAAACTTATGTTAACAATGAGTTAGGGAAGAAGGTAGATAAAGAATATGTGGATAGTGAGTTAAATAAGAAAGCTAATATATCATTTGTTAATGAAGAAATAAAACAATCAGAGGTCTATTTTACTCCACCATTTTTAAATTTTATGAAATCATCAGATAAAACCTTTGATATAGATTCTTTTGAATGGATATGTTTCGATGGAGTGACCATGTATTTATTTTATACAGCTGGAGTGCTTTATTATTTTAAAACAAATGATTTTCAAAACTATGAATCATTTACTCCATCTGTTTTGAATCCTGATACACGAAAGCCAATCATTAATCCAAGAATTTTATATGTTGAATATAATAACGGTAAATTTATGGGAATGATAACGGTTGAAGATGATTTTTGCCCTTGTTATTCATTCGATTGTATCCAATGGTTCAAATGTAATTTAAATCAAGATGCTAAATTTAAATATCCAAATAATCCTATTAGATGCGTTAATAATAAATGGGTACTAATTTATGAAGTCAATCAAATTTTCATTAGTGAGGATGGGATAAATTATTATATGTTTAGTATGATGTCATCAGATTTGGAAATTGATTATACAAGTAAGTGGTATTACATTAACAACATGTATTTTATCCTACAAAATGATAAAATTTATAGATCATCTTCAATACCACAAGGTCAATTTGAACAAATTTTTCAAGCTGATGGAGACATTGAAGCTTTATGTTATGGATCAAATGTTTATGTTCTCGTTTCAGGTGAAATGGTCTATTCATATCCTGTAAGTTATAACAGACATATTTATTTATCACAGGATTTATCAAATTGGGAATTGGTTTATTCATTCACTCCAAAACTTACTCAAAATTATAGATTTACAAATTTATTTTATATTGATGGGTATTTCATTGCTTTAGGATGTGGTGATTTAGTAAATATCAGTAGGGATGGAAGAAACTGGTCTGAAATCACAAAATTTCAAGATGTTAGAAAAGCAATTTTCAAAAATAATACGTTAATATTGATAACAAGACCAGTTTTAAATACTCACCCAAATTCAATATTATATAATAAATTCAATATTCATAATGGATTAAATACAATTCTTGAGATGATTTACCCCATTGGTTCTATTTATACGTCAATGAATTCAACAAATCCAGCAACAGTTCTGGGTTTCGGTACGTGGAAGCAGATTGTAGATAAATTCTTATACTGTGCAAACTCTTCAAAGGAAACAGGAGGTTCGAAGAAAATTACTGAAGCAAACTTACCCCCGCACACTCATACAGGAACTACAAACTTTTCTGGCGACCATAGCCACTCATTAAGAGACCACCCATTATACAACTCAGAATATTATGCTGGCTATGATGTTTTATCTCCAGATTATAACCATTCAGCAAAAAAGACTTTTCGACCAACTGAACCAGGAGGAAATCATGTCCATACTTTCACAACAAATCCAACAGGCTTGGGTGAAGATTATATGCCACCATTTATGACTGTATTTGCATGGTTTCGCATTCAATGAACGCTCAATGTTTGTGAAACAAACTTTAGAACGGACTGAAAGTCCTGAGATCCAAAAGAGTGAACGGCATAATTTAAATTTTTATTCCTCATTCGCTAAGGATTCCAAAAATGAAAAAATCATTGATTTCGGCTGAGAAAAACAGCAAAACCCTTCTTCCACGGGAACAAAGAAATAAAGAAGAAATAAAGAAGAAATAAAGTAAATTTTTATTTATTCCCGTGGAAGATAGAGCACTTTTATGACACTTTTTATTCACGACAAACAAGACAAACAAAGAAAATAAGAAAATACGGCGCCGTCGCGGTTCGAACCACAGACCCTAACCCCCCATAACACCACCTTAGACCATTGTGCTACGTAGCCTGTCGACATAAGATTTTATAAATTGCATATTTGACGTAAATTTATTTCCCAGTTATTCAAAAATAATTAATTATTGAATAACCTAAAAACATTAACGATAAAATAAGTGATAACAAATTTTTATTTTTATCATAAATGAATACCCCACAAGCTCAAAATTTACACGAATCATAACAAGGGAGGAAATGATAAAAATGATGCAAGAACATGTTAAAAATAACAAACCACTAAAATTGAGAAAATGTGGTTATGCAGTAATGATGGAAAGAGAGATGTTGTCGAAGAGGAATAAAAATTAAATTTGGATTGAGTTTAAAAATTCATCTTTATTAAATTCATCTCTTCCAATCAATTTATTTATTCTATTAAATTCTTTTATTTTTGCTTCACTCAGTTTAAGGATTGAACGATAAGTTTCTAATTTTTCGATTATTTCTTTATCATTTTCAACCCCACCACATTGCGACTTCTTTTTGTAATAGCATATTTTTGATTTAATTCTGTTTAGTTTCTTTTTATATTCATTGTCTGGACTCTTGACTGCTTCGTTGTCACTCATTTCTTACGAAATAAAAAAATTAAATAATATTTAAATATAATGGAGTAATAAAATAAATCGGAATTTCTATTAATTTATTGTCAACTTCAACTAATGCATTGCCGTTAATATATCTAACAAATTCAGCTATTGTGTCAAATCTTCGTCTTCTTTTTGTCATTGATTTATCAGTTTTTCCATAATCGAGATGAATTAAAACTTTATTTCCTTGTTTAAAATTCATGAGCCCCGAATTAATTTGTTCACGTTTAACATCATTTAACCTTTCCATTTGTTTTCTAATATATTCCCATTCTTTTGAAATATCATTTTTCATTTCCACTGGTTTCATGTTTATAGTTCTATGCCATGTATTATTGTAATAATATACTAACTGTTGTATGATGGAGTCATGATTTCCATCCCAGTATATCTGACCGTTAACCCCTAACGCATCTCTAAGAGTTCTCATTACCGCATCAACTATTTTATTATGAAACGTATATGGAGAGGATGAAAAGTAAAAATTAATTTGTGGGAAATAATGAATCATAGTTGCCTGAAATCCTTTATCACCATCACCCCTGATATTATCTACTCTTTCATGATCTAGTAAGTATTGTATAGCTCTTCTTGTTTCCTGTTCTGTTTTCCCTTTCACTGGAATGCAATATAAATATCTGGTGTTAATGTTAATGGCAAATAAATAAGTAACGTTTCCTTTTGAATATTCCAGATGATCGATTTCGTATGAATATGGATATGGAGCAAACGAAGGGCGACTAAATTTTTCCTTTAACGGTTGAATTTTTGGGTCAATTGGTTTATTTAATATCTTGAAATCCTTTTTAAAATCTTTTTGTTTCTTTAATGTTTGAAATGGATATAATAAAGTGAATGATGAAGGATTAACTGAAGGAGGAGGCGGTACTGTCGTTGGAGGTTTTGGTGTTGCAAGTGGTTTAATTTTATCTGCTTTGATTTTGGATTTCATTCCCTCCTTCATTAATTCTGGATGTATTCTATTCATTTGTTTTAAATATGCTGTATATAAAGGTTTGATATACTTTCCCGCTTCGAGTTTATGTTGAAGGATGAATTCCAAAAGTTGATCTTCATTTAAAAGTCGGGCTGAATATGGTTTAACTAATGAATCATAAATTAAAGCTCGTGCTTCATTTATGGTCTGAAGGACCTGGGCGTTTTGCACCTTTGGTTTTTGCGGCTCGGGATTATATAATTTATATAATTCATCAATATCTTCTTCTGTTAATACTTTATTTTTGAAATCTTTCAACTGTTTAAGCTGTGATTTAGTTTTTCCCTTTGCATATTCATTATTTTTAATTTTGTCTTTAATTTTAGAAATTATTTTATCATGATATTTCAAAATTTCATTTTTATAATACGAATAATAATATTCCATATCATCACCCGTTATATTTTTATTATATTTTTGGAGATATGCTTTTAAATCATAATAATCAAGAAAATTTTGATTAAATACTAAATCATCAATTAAAATTTTTAAATCTGTGTTATCCATTTATATAAAAATAAAATAAATGTTTTAAGGGTGCCCACCTCTTTGAATCATAGTATCAAAGCCATCATTAACGGTTCCTTTTGTCTCTTCTGTGGCATTTCATTAAAAATAAAAAATAAATTGTATTAAATAAATGGCATACAACATCCATTTTCACAACATACAGCCTTAGTGTGTGCTCCTGTTAATGCAGTCTTACCGATTGTTAAGCGAGTCATTGACCCGTTTTTAAGTTGTAAATTAATATTCTGACCATCAAATATCACTTTATCATTTATTATATCCAAATAATTTTTAGGTGTTAATTGTTTATTTTGTCTTAAACTAACACCTTTCATTTTTTGTGCAATCTTTTTAAAATCACCTCCATCAATTGAACCGTTGAATGATGTATAACACTTAGGGCATAAAGCAACCATGTTATCACCTTGTTTCTCAATTGCTAAACCCAATAACTTCTTCTCATGTGCTTTTTCTTCAGCTTTATTCTTTAATTTAGGTTTAAATTTCTCATCAAAACAGAAGAAATCAAAAGGTGCGAATTTGTAAATGTTTTTATCATAAAATTGTTTATCAGTAACAATTGCTTTGAAATGCTTGAGTGTTAGGAAGACTTGGATCGCCAGCGATTGCCCAATAAGATGAATCAGTATCACCTTCAATGAAATGAAAACGATTAACATCCATGCATTTATACATAAAATCATAAATGAAAACCAAATACCAGTATTTTAGCATTATCTAAAGTGAAGAATGCCTCTTGTAAACATGTATCACATCTATAAAATCTATCTTTAAGCATCACTTGATACGTATCTTCACCTATTTCTCTTATGTTTTTAAACTTATTTGACATACATGCAACGCGTGCCTTCTGTGCATTCATTATTTTAGTCTTTGCGTAATTTTGTGTATTCATTGCATCGTAACCATATGATCCATTAAGTGAAATCTTGCAAAATAAACTTTTTCCTTTATTTCCTTCTAATTCAGCCTTTTGTCTTTCGTTCATAAATTCGTTCGCAAATTCATTAAAACAAGTGTTTTTCGTAAATGTTAAAATTGATTGAATGTCATCAATGATAAAATGAAATCTGTCTATTAGATACAAAGATAATAAGAAGAAAATGGTTGATATTGGTTGTGTGTTGATGCTAACTGAGTTAATTTTCTCTGTTTCTGGTCAACTGGTAGATTGTTTGATTTCATGTAATTATACATAAAACTGCCAATTGTTTTTTCATCTGTGATAATATCTAAGTTTCTTATTATCGGTAAAAAGTTTATGTAATCATTAATGTAATTTTTCATCAATGTGACCCTTTACTTCAGCCACGAATAAAGTATTTTTCTTTCTAATTATTCCAGTGCTTTTGCTTTCTTTGTTGCTGTATCACAAATGATAACACCCAATCTTCCCGGCATATACATTTTATGGTTAGTATATTGAATGAAATCATGAGGATTAGATGAAAATGATGAAGGATATAATGAATTAAAATCAACACCAACAAAATGAAGTCATGATATTGGTGGTGTCCTCATTTGATACAGTTTTAGTTTCTGGATTATATGAAATTTTATTAATGTGCGTGATTCCTTTAAGATTTACTCTTGTTGAACATTTGATAAACCACCAGTAATTCCATTACGGAGAATGTGATAAGCTTCAACTGAATCTAAAGTCATTGGTAAATTATTTTTTAATGTATTTCTATATTCAAATTGATTCTTAAACGTTGAACATCCTCATCTTTATTTGATTTTACGACATTGCAATAACAACACATTAACTGACAATTTTTCTTTGGTATGTGGTTTTTCATTATCGATTCTATCTAATGTTGGTTTATTAGCATATGTAAACGCTTTACCACACATTTTGCATTTAGATGAAAGGATTAAATCGTGATAGTATTGATAGTCATCCATTGAAACATTATTTTTAGTATCCTTTCTGCTTTTTCATCTTGTTTCTTATATGATTCAATTTTATATTTCCAATACTTTTTCGTTAATTCAAAACTTGATTCCACATTTTCTTCTTCTGGATATTTTTCGTTAGGATTAAAGTCTTTATATGCTAACGCGTAACGAATCATTGATGCATTCGATGATAAAGAAAGATTATGAAGCATGTCAATTTTATAAACAAATGTTTCTTCAATAATTTTATCAATTGGGTCAATCATAATTTCAACATCTTTATTGCAATAATGAATAAAATATTCTAATCTATTCTTAAAATTTTTAGCATCATTGAGATATATTTGATAATCACTATCTGATATAGTTTCTTGAGTTAATGCTGAATAAAATGAATCTTGAGTGAATGGTTCCTTTTTATATAATTCTTCTTCGTAATTTTCCCATGTGATGAATTGATAAGGGAAAAAGGATTTAACACGTGATTTATTGTTTCCGAAATCTTGAGTGAATTGGTCTAATGTCCCACCCGCTATATAATTTCTGATGTCAATAAATCTCAATTCATATGTAACGTTTGTTTTCTTTACAATGATTTGCTTAAATTGTGAAGATGAACCCAGCATTGATTTTATTTTCCATTTTGCAGTGTTTAAATCACGAAGAATTAAATTTAAATCAAACTTTCCCGAATTAAAACCTATGATATTCACTTTATTGAATTCCTCATCTAGAAGTTCTTTAAATGCTTCCTTTTGTTTTTCATTTAATGTTTGTGACTTCATTAATTCTTCATATTGTTCAATATTTGATTCAACAACTAATGAACAGGTTGAAAATAAAAACTCAATCCAATCAGAGATGAACGAATCACTTGAAGTTAAGCAAAAATTCTTCGTAAATGTTTTATCACGGTCTACAACCTCGCCGCTTTGCGGCTTTAATTTAACCGTTGATGATACCATGAATGGTTTTAAGTAAGCGTTCAAAGTTGCACATTCAGAAAGTTGAAGTTCTTCTTTAGTCTCTAATGTTTCAAAGTCAAAAGTAATATAATATCTTGTTGGTTTATAATATTCCTGCAAATTGTGAGCTAATAGCCATTGATATATCTTCTGTTTCGTGATATGTGGTGCATATGGTTGTGTGTCTTTTGCAATTGAACGTCTTGAATTAATCTTCCATTATTTTCTTTACATTTCTCACAATGCTTTAAAAATCTTCTTTGGTTTTTCCTTTCTGGGTCATCACGGATAGAATAAACTTCTTCTTTGCAAAAGGGGCAAACTTTATATCCTGTGAGTGCTTCAACGTCTGTTATTCTGTCAGCGTGAAGTTTTCCACATGGACTCTGTGTTAATAAAATATTTACTGTTTCAAATTCTGGATCTATCATTATTGATTCCACTAATGAAAGTCTACCTTGTTAATGTCTACGTCTTCTGGTTGAGGGTCACAATAATAAAAATCAATATTAACGTTTAACATTCTTGCTAACCTCTCACTTTCTGATGAAATGTCAAACCTTCATATGCATCTATTGGCTTCATTTAAATAACTTCTACGAGTTTTAGGATTAACACCATCAGGAATGTTATAGAAGCGTTTAAATAACCTTCTACCTTCTGCTCTTATTTGATTATCATTCATTTTAGCTGTTCCGTTTTTGTTCATTTATGTAAGAATAAAAATTAAAAAAATAAATAAAAATAAAGTTTATTTTTTAAAGTCCAGGGCTAAAGTCCATAAAATGAATTAAGAACACATAAATTTTTATCATCTGCGACGTGACGAATACATTTTAATTTACTCAAGAATGCGTACCCTGATACATTAAATCTAATTCCTGTCTTATTTAATTTCACAACTTTGAAAAGGAATGTATGAATAGCTATAAAATGATGAGATGATGTTTTATGGGTTGCTTCCATTTTTTCTGAAATAAATGAATAAATATAATGTTATAAGTTTTCATATCTTTTATGTTCTTAATAATGAATGGTATAGACCTTTCCACTTCGTCTTCCTTCGGTGCTGTTCTTTCATATGAAACATTATTGGTATCTTCAATAATGAAACCACAATCGCATAAAATTTTATATGTACCAATTGTTTCTTTTGATATTTTATCTAATAATTCAAAAACTTTATCAACACCCGTGCATTTATTTAAATAATAATTTGTGTAAATATCATGGTCTTCTTTCTTAATCGTATTTGTTGCATATGTTACATTTTTCAATGCTTTTTTGAATTTTTCAGAATCAAGAGGAGGTGAAAGTAATATACATGGATAATCTCCATCGTCAATAAACTGAAGCTTATGTTTACGAATAAATTTAGTACCTTCTTCTGAAAGTGTTTCGTCAATATCACCATCTAATAAATTTTTAGTAGATTCCAAAAAGTAATTTTTATATCTTTCTTCATGAGATTTCTGTACTTCTGATTCTGAAGCTGGGATATTCATTAAACCCTCTACTTCATTCTCATTATATTTTTCAACTTCTCTTAATTCCTTAATTTTTTCATCTATTTCATCTCTTATTTTTTCCAGTCTTTCAATTTCATCATATTCATCATCTTTAATCCGTTCTTCATAATATTCAGGGAAAACATCAGGTTCTTTAGGTTTTTCTTCTTCAGATGTAGGATATAAAAAATTTATAACATCATCTTTATTCATTTTTCCATCATAATCTAAATCATTTAATAACTCGGCAAATTTTTGACAATTTCTTAAATAATATTTATTAACTTCATAACCCGCCTCCTCTAATATATCCTTTATTTCCTCATTTGTGAATCCCAATTTCTTAACGTTGTTAGTTGTGACGCTCATTTATCATTAAATAAAAAAATAAATTATTCAAAAAAATGTAAGACATGAATTTTCAAAGTTTATTTTTTAAATTTTTTTATTTTTTACTTCATTATGTAAAGGGTTTGTGAAAATTTCTTACGATTCTGAAAATTTTTAAATCTTGATTTATTCAAAAACGTAAGAATAAAAACTGTAAGAATCATACATTTATTTTATCGATTGTATGAAAATTACTTACAAAATCGCTCGATATTGTATGAATTCTTACGTTTACAAAAAAAGTCACAAAACCCGCCATATATACTACTAATGCATAGTCTTTAAACCATCCTTAAATAAATTGACAGAATGTAGCAATTCCAATGACAAATCTCATCATATAAACAAATATGCAAGATTCTCATGATGAAAACAATATTAACAAAATAATCATAGATTTCGGTATAATTCCAGATAGTTGAAGATTTAATTTAAATATTTTTACCATTTCAAGAGGTATATATTAAAAATAATAATTAGAAACGAGTGTCCGCATTAAAAAATATTTTAGTTTACAAATAAATACAAATAGAGTGTCAAAAGGCAGTTTACAATTCCTGCACTATATATTGGTAATATTAACCAAATGAGAACATGAACAAAATAATTAATTCAGAATTATTTCATGTTCTGGTCAAATAATTGTGAATGAATGATATTCCTTCATCATTTAGATATCAATTCAAGTAGAAACAATGTCCCAATCTCCTTCGACTGTATGAGTTTCTTTAGCTTCTTCAATTTTATCTACAATATGTATCGGGCATTCACCTGATTGATTTAGTAGCATTGGTAGTTCTTCTGCGTCTTGTAAATTTGTAATAAAAAATCCAACTAACATAGATGAGCTTAGAGTGTCTGCTGGCATTACTTTTAGTGGTGGTTTGAAAAGTTGATTGATCTGATCGATCTTAGTAATTGATTCATTGACGTCGTGAGGATCAAAATATAATAATTTTTCTTTTTGATGTCCAACAATGAAATATGCTTTGCCTTGTTGGCCGCCAACAACTCCTACAGATTGATATATCAGAGATAAAGTAAGTTTAAGAAACGGGAGATATTTCAATTCAAAATTTTCGTAACCAAGCATTAAAGTAAATAAAAGTAGGACAGGAATGTTATGTGATAGTGCTTCATTCAATACTTCTCTAGATAAACACCCGTGTTCTGCAATAACTACAGGAATACGGAAGAAATTCATGATTTCCTTAATAACTGGAGCAAGAAGAGATGGTTTCACCCACTCTCCAGGCATGACTCCATATGATTGTAGTTCTGCACAAATATGGGGTAAACCAAATGGAGAATGTGGCAAATCATAAAATAATTCGTATTTAGAGTTTGTAGGAAATATATTTCTGATATCATCCCCTAAATGTTTATATAGTTTTGTAATGAATTGCATTATTAATCCTTGGGCAGACCTTATACAGCAGCCCCAATTTTTATCAGTTGTGAAACCACCTTGAAGAGGGGCGAAATTTTTATGGTAAGTAAAACGTGGTATTGTTTCTAGTAACTTTCTCTGTTTTTCTGTATCCGAAATTATAATAGTTGTTCCAAGAATCACTGTCATTTTTGTTTCAGAAAAAATTGTCAAAAATTTTATCGCGCCAGTTAAAGGTTGAACTTCTTCAAGTGGTAGTTGATTGATGAATCAATCATCTCATGCATTTATTGAAGTAGTAAGCGAATAGTCATTAAACTCATCTTGTTAATTTTTATTTTTATCTATTACAATTTATGTATCAAAGTCTTTTTCTTCTATGTTTTCTTAATGGCTTCTTTCTCTTCTTTTTGTACATTGCCATTTTCATATGAGCTCTGTTCGTCTCTTCTTGAAAGGACTATAGATCTGTCAGCGTCCGTAAATTCTTCTTTAGTAATGTCTCTGACTTGTTCTGCTGTTGCTGTTTAATCTGATTCGATTTCTCTGCTGTAATAGTATTATTACCTCAAGATTAAGTTCGCCTTCTTGATGTGTGTTGCGAAGTGAGATCTAATCAAATCATTTGTGAAAATGAAGATTCTTCCTTGTAACCTCATTCTGTCTTTCGAGTCTTACTTCACTTATTGCGTTAATCAACCCGCTGACATTGAATTGTTCTAAAACGTCTTTCGGAAGAACTCTCTTGAACTCTATCAAGATCTCCAAGCATTTCTTCTCGATGGCCATCTAGCTATGAAAGAAAATCAAAGGAGTTTCTGGTATTCTTCTCGTATAAACGAGAATTTTGCAAAGACAATTTCTATCCAACGAGGTTCAATATCATGACTTCTGCAATCTCTCTTGGTTGTAACAGTTATGAGAAGTAAATGAAAATGCAATAGCTCTGAAGTTTTTGTATTGAACCATCGCATAAGCATCAAAAATACTTCAATTTGCTTATTGTTCCACATTTAGAAACCTTATAAAAACAACACAAATTCAATTAAAAGAGACTTTATTGTAAAACAAAATAAATAAATAAAAAATTAATATCTTGGTTTCTTTGTTCTTCCACGTGGAGTATCATAATCATCATGGTCAACATTAACCAACTCTTCAGCACCAGTTTTAGCGTCAATAAGCTTCATCGTCCATGTTTTTGGATAAGATTTTTTATCTGGTTTTGGAGGAGGAACAAATGTACCTTGCTTTTGATAAACATAGAATGAATATAGTCCACAAACAAACCATTCATCCTCTGTCATCTCGGCAAGTTGCAATCCGCCTTGTTGCCTTTTAAGAGTATTGTAAAAGAGGTCTTTTTCTGCATCAAACTCTGGATTGTTAAGAACAGTATTGTAAAATTCATGAAAACCGTAAGATGCAACTGGACTCATACCTTGAACAGCACAAAGCTGATCAAGAACAACAGAATGTATAAGATATTCTTTAACGTGACCTACAGATTCGTTTAGATAGAAAACATAGCCTGCACCGAAAGCAGGAATTGATGGTTCAAAATCAAAGTGTCGTACAGCCGAAAAAACCGAATTTGATATCTTTCTTTTCTGCTCTTGAGTGCCTCCTTTAGCTTCTTGTTCACGAAATAGATCTACAAGACGAAATGCGTTAATTGTTGTTATTAGTAAGTATCCACCAGGTAAAAGCTGGCTGCATAAGTTTTCAATGGCCTGAGAAGCTTTTTCGTAAGATTCAAATGCATAGTGAAGAGCGAATTGGCAAGAAGCAATATTGAATTTCATGTCTGGTACAAGTTTGTTTAATTTGCAACCAAAAGTATCACCTACAATGAAAGTGCCTAAAAGAGAGTCTGAATATTTGTAGTATTTCTTGTAACATTCTTTCATAGATTCTTTAGCAATATCAGCAAAGACTATATGTGCAGGGGCTTTGTGAATCCATTTGCTAATATCACCACCTTTGCCACTAGCTAAATCGAGAACAATTGAATATGGCGAGCAATATTTGTTAATTAAGGAACTTTTGATCCAGTTATTAAAATGACGCAGATGTAATGTTTGTGACTGAAGTCTCTCTTTGCCATATATGGCTCTAGTCGCGTTATAGGCATCTTCTGCTGTATTTTCAATCATTCGAATTAAAATTGAATTGAAAATAATCGTCTAAAATGAATATCGCAGAACAAGAAGCACAAGCAGCACTTGATAAACAATTATATCTTAGTCAGCAAAGAATTAGAGAAGATGTATCACGTAGAACAGATTCTTTTCTACATTTTGCAATTTCTACAGGAACAATCGGTCAATCTTTGCAAACGCAGGCTTTATCAACAGCAGAAATGGAAAATACGGTACAATTCGTCGAGAATTCACTAATGGCAAGAATACCACCAGCTTCAGGAACGAGAATTAGAAATCAATTTGAAATTTCTGCTCAATTCAAGAACGGATATGAAGCTCCTGAAGAGGATAATACTGTTCCTGAAGAAGAGTTTACTCAGCCAATACCATGCGATTATTGGTAAATTTAGAAAAAATCATTTTTCAATTTCGTCGGAAATCGAACATTAACGATCGTATTAAATAAATTGTATATTTTGTAATAATAAAACATGATGTAGAATAAAATTCAATGAATATTTTTCATATCTATAATCTCTCAGAATATTTGATTGCTAAGTACCTATATAATCTAATTGCTTTAGATTTGAAAAGATTTTGCTTTAATTCAAGTCACCAAGAAATTAGAATTAATCTAAAAATTTAACATCATGAGTTAATCATATTTTTTATCATACAATAGTGCATTAATTATAGTGTGACTTGGATTTGAACAATTATAAAAAAAAAAAAAATCAAACAATATTTATCAACAAACAAATAAGAAATATATATTTTCAAACATAAAATGACCCATCAATTGGTTTTAGAGTCCGCGTAAATATACAAATAAGATCGATTAGTGACCAAAGTCCAAAACCTCCTAAAGTTGCTAACTTCAGGACGCCAAATCCGGTATATCCTAAATAAAATCTATCTGCACCAAATCCTCCGAAGAGAATTGACATTGCAACTGCAGTAGCATGTGAATATCCTGTTGTGGTTTGGCAAAACAATTGTGAGCTAAATGACCGAGATCCCAGACATTGGGAAGTAGCTACAACTGAGCAAATTCCGATTTGAGGTTTAGTTGAAGGAGTACATCTATCTGGAAATCCGCAATGGAGCTCGCTATCAGGTAACTGCCAGCACTGATAGCATGGTAATGTTACTGTTATATTCTTTTCACCTGAACAAACAGCATATTTATTTACATGGCAAATTGCTGTTGTATTTTCACCGATTTTACATCTTTCTGCATTACATGTGAAATACTGAGGATATAAATTGGAGCAATGCTCCATCTGCAGTGAAAACTGAAAAAACAAAAACATCAAAAATCTTGAAAATTTTTGTCACTTTTGCAATAATCGTATAGATTTCCACCTCAAAATTTAGCATATTGAGGCAAATTGAAAAACCTTTTTATACTGGCATATTAAGGGTGCACTTCTTTCTGACATGCCATCATATCATCAGAATATCTTTATTTTAATAACAAAAAGGTATAAAAGTCATATGAAGTACTATGTAGTGATTTATAATAACTTTTTCCAGAGAGAAAATATTAGCTTTTTATCATAGCAAATTGGAGTATAAAGCTCTGGTGTCAAAAAAAATTGAGAGAATGTCAGAAAGTGGTAAGTACGCCCTTAAGGTTGGTACACCTTTTCAAATAACATGCATTTATCATGAATAACTATCGTAACCTTTAGCAATAGACAAGTTCTTTATGATTAAGTTGAAATCAGGGATTAAAAATAGAGTTATAATAAGTCAGAAGTCGTGGAACTGTTATATCAGATTTGCAATATCTCATTAAATGCAAAATTGCAATTCAATTAGTAATCAATGTATTTGAAATACAAAGAAATATTAGGCGATCTGGTCCAAATTCAATGAAGTCTGCTATGTGTGACATTCTAATAATGTTACTAAGAACTGTAATAATAATTTATTTTTTAGTTCTAATGAAACTCATTATCGAAAAAGAGATAATAGCATCCTATAATAGAATATTATATTTTTGCACCACGTGAAAGAAGAAGTTCGACTGTTTCTTTGCTATTAAAACGTGCTGCAGTATGGAGAGCAGTTTCTCCAAATTTATTTTTTTCATTGATATTTGCACCATGTGAAAGAAGAAGTTCGACCATTTCTTTAAAATTCCTATTTGCAGCAAGATGAAGAGCGGTATATTCAAAAAATTCAACTTTTTCATTGATATTTGCACCATGTGAAAGGAGAACTTCAACCATTTCTTTATAATTATATTTTGCAGCAAAATGAAGAGCGGTTTCTTTATCACGATCTTTTGCATTGACATTTGCACCATGTGAAAGGAGAACTTCGACCAGTTCTTTACAATTATATTTTGCAGCAAAATGAAGAGCGGTTTCTTTATCACTATCTTTTGCATTGACATTTGCACCATGTGAAAGGAGAACTTCAACCATTTCTTTATAATTATATTTTGCAGCAAAATGAAGAGCGGTTTCTTTATCACGATCTTTTGCATTGACATTTGCACCATGTGAAAGGAGAACTTCGACCAGTTCTTTACAATTATATTTTGCAGCAAAATGAAGAGCGGTTTCTTTATCACTATCTTTTGCATTGACATTTGCACCATGTGAAAGGAGAACTTCAACCATTTCTTTATAATTATATTTTGCAGCAAAATGAAGAGCGGTTTCTTTATCACTATCTTTTGCATTGACATTTGCACCATGTGAAAGAAGAACTTCGACCATTTCTTTATAATTATATTTTGCAGCAAAATGAAGAGCGGTTTCTTTATCACTATCTTTTGCATTGACATTTGCACCATGTGAAAGAAGAACTTCGACCATTTCTTTATAATTATATTTTGCAGCAAAATGAAGAGCGGTTTCTTTATCACTATCTTTTGCATTGACATTTGCACCATGTGAAAGAAGAACTTCGACCATTTCTTTATAATTATATCTTGCAGCAAAATGAAGGGCAATTTTTTATCACGATCTTTTGCATTGACATTTGCACCATGTGATAGGAAATATTTACAAAGAGATGGAATAGCAAATTTCGCCGAATTAATAAAACACTCATTAATATCATTAGTTTGATCGAAATAAACTAAAAACGCCTCAAGATTTTTGTAAGTTGCACACTTTTCTACATCGATCTCTATATTGTATTCATTCATCAAGAATGTAACAAAATCAATGTTGTGTGAAATAATTGCATATTTCATGCAATATTTATCTGGTTTTTGGTATTTCAAACATTCACTTATGATCTCTGGATTTCCACCTAAAAATGAATATCGTACACATGTTGGAGTTATTTCTGAGTTAAATTTCGTTCTTAATAACTTGAAACAATCAACAGCTCCATGATAACAACATAATTCAAGTAACGAATATCCTTTTTTATAACATGAAAATGGATATAAATCGCTTTCAAGTTTTTGATCTTTATCAAAACTTTTTCTTTCAGTGAATGAGATGAATCTTTCTTTGTCATTATACATAATTGCTCTGTAGATCGTATGTTTGGTATGAATATCGAGAGTATCTGTTTTGATATCTTTGAAATCATATATTGCGTCTGATTTAATTCCATATTCTTTATAAAAACGGAAGTTTGAAATATATTCATTACTCTTGAAATCTTTGACATGATAATCATCAGATATGAGTTTGGCAAGAGATAAATATGCCTTCGTATATCGATTATTATATGGAATGATATCTAAAATATCCTCCATAATATTTTTGGGTGAATGTTTCTTTGAATCAATCAATTCTGTTATGAACTCTTTGTAAAATGTGTTCAATTCTTTTTCTTTTTCCGTTTTGAGCTGGTATAACGCATTATATGAATCACTGTGGTATTTACTGATATCACGCAATTTGTTGTATACATTAGGATGAACATACTTCCCAGACATGTAAAAATTTAAAAACCATAAAATTTCATTTTACCATACAAAATATACATTAAATTAATTAGAAGAAAAATAAATTCCATGTTAGACATGGGAAAAACAATAACCACAAAGATTTCGGATAAAATTTATGGATTTCAATAAAGTTCGCAGATTCAAAATAACATTATAAGAATAAGAAGGTCGAAATCAAAAAGATCTTCATCCTATTAATAGGACACCCCTCTCCTTTTTTCTTAGGGTTACTGATCGCTTTCTTTCTGCTCGTATTGCCAGAAATGAAAGAAATGATTGGTGGAGAATAATTTATTACTCCAATTGGCAACTATCTTGTAATATACAATGAGTTTCACTGTCAGTTATTCTCCCGCATTATTCAATTTAAGTTCAACTTCGTTAATTTAATTTATATTGCAGTGGTACTCTCGTGTTGAGATAAGAACAAGAATACACATGCTAAAACCCCACATTAAAAATCGAAATTTTCATCTCCAAAATTTAACGACAGAATTTCTCGTAATTTTGATTTTTTACGTACTTTATGATACATATTCAAATTTCTTGAATACAGAAAAAGTTACTAAAATTTGAGGAAATATTGCAAAAAGAAAAAAAAAGTCGGCTTTATTATATAAGTTACTTATGATTTACAATGACCTCTACAATTGGTACACAGCGCCTCATATAATATTTGGTTATTTCTGATTTCAATTTTATACATTTTGTTTGGAATATTCATAACTCAAATCTAGACAATAGTTACTACATTTATGCGAATACAGTGCGTCTCCTTTCATCTTTTTACTTGTTGTTGTTGATATAAAAACATTATTATTTTACTATCATAAAATAAGAATTTTGTTATGGTAATAATATTTTTAACAACAATGATGACATTATATCAACTCTTAAATGGTGTTTTATCAAATATTTAGCATTCAGTAGATATTCTAATCTTGAATTTTATATTTTACTTTAGATTCTGACATTGGTAAATAAACGCTATATTCGTATATGCATGCTAATATGAAAAATAGAAGAGCATAACGCTTGTTCATCAGAATCGACAATTAGAATTATGGAAATTTTATTTGTTTTTGTAAACTTAAGGGTGCCGGAAAGTGAGGTGACGCAATTTCGAGTATTGCTCATAACTTCATTTGTAGTAAAGATATTAATGATATTGAAACATATATTAGTAGTGTATATACTAAGGTTTTTATTTCTATGATATTGAGGTCTTGGATACTTCCAGTTTGAAGTAAACTGTTTCGCAATTTTCGAACTTGCGGGCCTATCTAGTCCCTGGTTATTCCATGGCAGGGGCTGATACTGCAGAAATGATATCTAGGTACAAGATACTAGATATTTTATAGAAAACATTTGACACTTGTTAAAAAGTGTCGGGATCTAATTAGTGGGTAACTTCAAAACTAAGACCGATTGCACTACCATCTCACTGGATTCTGCTAATTACCATTAGGGAACAAACCCAATGGTAGCGGTTTCCAGTCGAAATGGTCTCATTCAAAGTTTAATTAGATTTGTATCTAGTCCTCCAATATTGTGTTTAAGCCAGTGAGATACATTAAACACAAAATTTCAATAGTTATACTAAACGTTTTACAGAACAAAGTTTATTTTCAATTCTCATATGTTGAGATAAATGCACTTTTTCCCTTCCAGATTTTAAAAATTTTGTATGATTTTTTATGTTTTCGATAACCTTATAATCATAAACATCGTTTTCACTTAGTTTGAATATGATACTATGATACATCATCACTTAAGGTTTATACTCATATAAACAAAACAAAATAAAAATGATTTTATGGGTTTGAAAAGTGTTGTTTTTATAATAGCTTTCACTTCACTTTCCGGCACCCTTAATTGAATTTTAGAAATGGAAAAATTTTCTCTCAATTTTTTTTTCTGAATTTCTAACTCTTTCAAAAAAAATATTCCTGACATCACTGCTTCTAAAAAACTTATAGAAAAGTGTATGTACAAGTTGTGTAAGTCTTCAGCACCCGCCTGAAACTAACTTCTGTTTCACAAACGTAGATATGAGAAGATTCAATGTCCATAAAATAACATGCATTATCAATTTTCTGACATAACTCGACGACTACCTCTTCTGTGTTAAGTATTCATTATTTAAAAAGCTTCTCAGAAATGAATCTCAAATTTTTCTGATGACGGTTTAGCGTTGAAAAAAAAAATGAAAGCTTTTTCGGTTTCTAACACTATGAAAACAATTATTTTTAGTAAACCATGTAAATTCTCAGGATATCTACAGTGCGATCATCCATCGACAATCCTAAATTTAGCAATTTGTCTTTTGTATTGTATAATATTTTTTTATATCCTCGTTACATTATTCAAGAAATCAAAACTATCTATTAGAAGTAACCTCAATGCAGGATGCTCATTTAGTTTTCTGTGTGTTATATTTTTTCTCGTTCCATATTTTTCCAGAAATACCTTTTATTTAAGAGGGCATGTCCTTGATGTTTCTGCATCATTTAAGTGCTTTTATTTTTCAACAATTTGGAAAAACCTTGGGCAAGCTATTTTTTTGGTACAGGTTTGCAAAGTTTTATACATATTTCAAGCACCTCTTGGAAAATATTTATATTATATATGTAAATTTATTCAGTATTCTTTGAGTATATATCAATTTTTTCATATAGCTGTTCAATATGTTGACTATAAAACATCACCCAATTTTCAGAAATTTGTCATTAACGAAATATATAATAAATATCAAACTGCATCATACTGTTTCATTAATTCATTTTCAATTTTAGTTCTTTCTATCTGTTTTATATTTTCAACAATCAAAGATTACTTTTCATATAAAACTCTTCTTTATATTAAAATATTAATGTTTCTTTTCTCATTCCAAACATTTTTTGATTTGATAGCAGTAAAAATTAGGTCTTCACTAGTTTTCATTAAATTAAATTACACAAATCAGGATAAGTTCTTATGGTCATCAAATGTGTTGGAAGTTTTTCATTTATACATTGAAAATATCGAAATGCTGTTATTAATTGTTCTCTTATCACAACCCCCTAAAAATGAGCCTCAAGATGTTAACGAAATGAATTCAAGGGATGAAACCTTAGAAACAATCAAAGTTGATTTGTAAATGATCAAAAATTTCGTTTTGATCTTTTGAATGCTAGCATCCTTACTTTGGACTACTAAAATGAATATTTCTTTTCCAAGATGATGCTAAAGCAATATGAAATATATAGAATTATTTAAATTAATAACATGAGATGCTTGTTACATCATATGCAATAATATGAAAGGAAAAATATCTCGTTGATCATTTATCCCTGCATATAATAATCGAAATTGCAGATGAAATATGATTATCGCTTGTTGGTATGCAACAAGTAACTTCAAAGTTAAAGATTTCTTTAATTTCTTGCATAACAAACTGAAAATAAGCCATCTGCAACTCTAGGAAAAAAGAAGAAAAAGTGGAGTCGTACTTCTTGGGATTATCTTCCCTTTATAGAGATGTTAAAGAAAAGTTATACGAAATGGATAGTTCTAATATAAATAATAGTTTGTAAATTGAACACAATGAATCCATATAAATAAATGTTAAATTTTTCAAACCAAGGAATTTGTGAATAATTGAAAGCAGACTCAAATTATTTTTATGTAAATCATTGAAAAAAGAGAATAATATTTTGGATTAAAATATTTTTGATAAATTCGAACAGCCTGTGTAGCTCAACCGGATAGAGCATAAGACTCTTAATCTTGGGGTTGCGGGTTCGAGTCCCGCCACTGGCTATTTTTTCTTTTTCCAACCTTTTTTCTGAAGGTTCTCAATTTTTGTGTGTGATTATCAATTATGAGAGTTTTTTTATTAACAAATATTCCATTAAAATACAAATGTATTTGTTAAAAATATAATTGATTTAGATGGCTGAAATAATGAAACAAAATAAACTAACTTCATTTTGGAAAATATCTCAATCTTATTGTGACTCGAGTACACAATGTGAACCATATATCATTCAATTGCAAAGGGGTAAATATAAAATCAAACCCCCGGAGGTTGGAATTACGGGGGTAATGGTGGGATTGATAAATATGATAAGAGTCAAGGTAGTTGGTTTGCACCTGAAAGCGGTAGAAACCATGATTCGACTCTTTAAAGATAACTCAAGAAAATTATAATCAATATTGAGAGAGTTTATATCTATATATACTAATCGAAGATCTTCCAGGAAAGAAATAGTTGAGTTTACTAGTGGAAAGCTTAGTGCTTTAAACAACGGAGTCAATATGTTTGGTGGTACGCAAACAAAAGGTAAATTAGGCAAAGGAATGATCTAGATTCTGAACAAAATCAAGGCTGATCTGGTGGTTGTGGATCCGGATATCGAGGAGGATATCATCCTTTTTACAAATAGCATGACTGGATTTATGATATTCTAATTCGGAGGAACGGGTGGAAGCTCGTATATAAGTGGACATCAAGGTTGTATAAGTCCCCAGTACCCGCCTGAAACTATAGCCAATAAAACAACTCCCTATCTCGAATCAAATTTTTATTTCACAAGCACAGAGATGATAAGCGGCAATGAATCTATGCCTGATCCATTAGGATATGGTAGCATAATAGGACATGTTGGTCATGGAATTTGCTGTATTACATATTTTCGTGGCTCAAATTGCCAAACAATTTTTGCTTGTTATCTGAATGATTATTTAATATGATTATTCAATCATATTAAATTTTTTATTTATTTGTTTAATTTCCGATTAAATCTGACGTATAAATTCATGCGCTAATATAGAGAAACAAAATTGACAAGTTTGATGAACAATTTAAATAAGATTAAATGTTATTCATATAATTGTTGAAAGAGATTAAAAGATTAACGGCAAAGTAATCAAAAATCGGCATTTAGTTATTAATAACAACTAATAAAAAACAATAAATTTAGAAAATTAGAGAATTATGCTCCATGTGTTTCCCATTGCCTTAATCTGTCTTCAAGCTTTGGCACCAAATCATCTTTGATTGTAGAAAACGTCTTGGCAGATTCTAATATGAGATCAGCAGTTTGGATGTTCTTTTCGATGAGCAACTTTCTGCTTTCAACAAGTTTTTGTATATTTTCTACTACTTTCAGACCAAAATTTGTTTTATAATCGCTTTTTTGTTGATTATATTCACTTTGTGCTTTATCTGCCTTTTCTTTTGCTTTTTCTAATGCTTTTTCGGTGCGTTGAACATTTCTTTCAGCGGCTAAATATGCTTCTCCCTGTCCTTTTGACCTTTCTTTTTCTAATAAGCGCCTTTTGCGTTCGAGATCTGTTTTCTTGTCAGAAGCCTCTTGTAAAGCTTGATTCTTAAGGTATTGTCGAGCAACTAATTCGTTATACATCGTATATAACTGTTGGAATTCGTTTGCCACATTACCTGTTTGCAAATGAGATTTCTTGATATTGTTGGTGCCTTCAAGAGCACACTTCCTCACTGGCTTTAATGTGTCGCTGACTTGCGCTGGTTGTCCGTCAATAAACTTTATGAAATCTTTTCCAAAAGCTCTTTCTAAATTGTGAATTATGATTTCTTCATCCTTGAGCATCTCTATTATCGCATTATGTGCATTATGATATTCAGGAAATGTCTTAAGTTTGTTAAAGAATGACATTATATAAAAATAATTTTTTTTTCTGTCAAATAAAAAAAATTTTTCATGTCATCGTTGTGTCACTTTTGGCAAATTGTCGATGCTTGTCACTTTTACATGATGTGATAATTAAAAATTTTTGACAGAAAAAAATGAGTGAAGAAATTTATGCTGATATGTTAATGGAATATCATGATCCTGGTGATATAGAAACAGACCAGGACGTCATGAGAGAAGAAATAGTTAGCTACTGCACTACAAATACGATTTCGAAAGAGGAATGTATCGAAAAAATACGAAATCTGTTCATTCATATACTTAATCAGTGCAAGGAAAAGAATATTAAGAACATTACGATCCCAATAACTCATAGATCAACAGCAGCAAACTCACAAGTTGATCCAATTTTAGGAACAATGGTCCAATACGAACAAGACCAGAAGTATTTACTCAGGTTTACGACAAATCCTAAGTATTTCGCTGTATTTTTACGAGTTCTAGCCGTAATTTATCATTCTCTTCAAAATGGCGAAGTAATCAGTAAAAGGTCGATTTACTACAGAGAGCCATCATTGTTTGGATCACAAGAGTCCGTAAACCAAGCAATAGAATCGATCTGCAGGTCTTTAGAAGTAAATAGAACTTCATTAGGCGTAATCTCTTGTCCAAAGTCATTTGTAGCAGGCCCGCTCAAATGGGAAGATGCATCAGGCAACATTATCGATGTCAGTACCCACATTGCCCCGATTCCTGCCTTGGTAGATCAAATAATCAAAGTATCTACGAACGCGATTGCTGTCATGGTCATAGAGAAGGAGTCCATATTCATGCGACTCGTCCAGTCGAAGATTGTCACTGAAGTCATCTTGATAACCCCAAGAGGAGTTCCAGATTACAACACAAGATATTTTGTGAGACTTTTGGACGATAGCCTCTCAATTCCTATCGTTGGACTTTTTGATGGAGATGCATATGGTATTTTCATCATGCACCTGTTCAAGTATGGCAGTATGAGTGCTGCACAAGATGGCCATGCAATGGCGTGTCCACACATGATGTGGCTCGGAATTCGACCATCTGATTTGAATTTCCTTTCTTCCAACGAAATGTTGACGATTACGGACAAAGAAGAGAAGATTCTCCGTAACATTTTGACGTTTGACCACTTAAGTGAAGAATGGAAAAAGGAAATCAAGTTAATCTTGGAAACAAAGAGAAAAGCAGAGATCGAGGCGTTATGCAACTCAACAAACTACCTCATCGACCTTTACTTACCTCAGAAATTTGCAAATCATGATTGGATATAAAATAAAATATTAATATTAAATCAATTTCATCATCTTTTTCAATATAACATCCAATGATAACATCGATAAATATTTTTTTTAAATAAATAACGAACAAATTTAAATTTGTCAATAACAAATCAATACAAATACTGTTTAAAGAGCCATTTACATTAATACATTAATGTGGAGAATTATAATTTATGACGTCTGAGTTAAAAGACTTAAATGGAATAAATTTTAAATTTTGATACGATAACTTTATCTATTTCATGTGATATAATATCATATTCTTGTTATTTATTATTATGGTTCATTTAATTTTATCAGTTTTCGATTCTTTCACTTGATATGAAATGGTTTCTGAATTTACAGCGTGTATTAGTGATAGAAAGCTCATACATGAGGGGGTTTAATGACTTTTAAATTTTCATTAGCGAAATGATCTGTAAGAAAAGTATTCGATCACATTCTGAGCGCGACGATACGCGATTATTTAAGGGTGCCCCCGTATGTACGTTTATTTGAGAGGAGGAGGATTACCCTCTCAATTTTGAGGGATTCGTTAGTTTATTTTCTCGATGAATATGCAATAAAATTTGATTTTTACCTTATCAATATACTTCATATAATATACACATGTTCATGTAAAAACTTTTTTCCAAAATCCTCAGGAATTAAGGGATTTTTGAATTTTAAGAATTTTTTTCGAATTTTTTCGAAAAAAAATATTTTCAGAACAGCCTTAACGGCTAAGATTTAGGAACAATGTTAAGTATCAAAAAGAAAGGAGGTCTGATATAGACAACATATATCGTTGAAAGTTGAAAAAATCTCTAATATTTGAGCCAAAAATTTCAAATTTTAATTTTTTGAAAAAAGAGGCCACCCGTATGTACGTTTATTTGAGAGGAGGAGGATTATATTTTTGAAAGGGTGAAACATTATGAATATGTTAATTATATAATAATATGTATTATTATAAAAAAGAAAAAATAAAGCACGTTATAATTTTTCTTTCTTGATTTTTTACAAAATCTACTTAGAATTATGCAAAATATGACTAAATAATTATAAATTTCAAGTTAAATTTTAATTTTGATAAATAATTTAAATTTCAAAATATCAAGTTCAGTTCGACTATGTATGTAGTAATTCCTCAATAAAGTGCCAAAACCCTATTAAAATATATGAACATTTTCAACATTTTAATGTTTTTATTTAAAAATTTGATGGAATATGAGCTTCAAACAATTATTATGTAAATAAAAATAATTAAATATATGTATTTATTCGTATTACAACCGTAGTAAGTCGATTCTTCCTTTCTTCTACTGAGTTTTGAATTTGATTTCGAATTGTAAAGAGATTCAAAGGGAAAATACTAGCGGATAAAAACTACCTCCATGAAAGGGTCATAATGGACTCAAGTTGTATTTTTTGATATTTTTTGCTTTTCGAGCCTAAATAGGTAGCCAAGATAATGCCTAAAAATAAGGTTCTAAATTCTGAAGTTTACATGGTCCTCTCGTGTGCACCCCTAAAATTCATGAAAACTAGGTGATATATTGTTGTAACATATTTTTATTGTTATATCTAGGAAATTAAAGTTGAACATCTGAATTTATCAGAAAGGACAAAACTATTAAAAATTGAGTCACCGTTGTAATTATGATTTTAGATCACAATATTAGGATGAGAGTTTCTATAATTTCTAAGTGAAACATTATACCATTTGACATACGATCCTGTGTCAATTTTTGTTTTTCTGAAATATTCAGAACTGTAAAAAATCAATTTGAATTAACGGAAAAATTGAAAACCTGTATTTTTATTTCATTAAATTGCTTTAGATTACATATTTGAGATAAATACAAGTTTAATTGCAATTGAACTCCTTGGATGTGAATATTTTTTTATTTGGAAAAAGTATCAATCGTATGTATATCATGATTTTTTAACTTTCCGATTTTTATTTTTTCAAAGCAAGAAATTGAAAATACATTTCTGATTTCTCAAATATATTTTTGAATTTTCACGGCAGATTTTCGATTATTCATATTATATTATATCTACAATATTTCATTATTCTTTAATTTTGATTGACCATAATAAAATTGAATAGTACCCTTAAATTTTTGTTATTGGACAAAAAGTGACACCAAATCACACTTGTTTGTTGGATCTTACCATTCCAGATAAATATAGCAACTTGATTTTATGAAATTAGATAGATATATATGTGTACTTTTATCCCATGTTGTTTTCTCGAAAACCTAATATCCTATGGCGATGCTGATTTTGAGCTTGTGTAAAAGTCAAGTGTCAATTATATGGCAATATTCTACCATATGTGGTGATGATATTTCAATATGTGTCTTTGTTAAAATTAAAAGTTTGAGATGAAATCAGCCTTATTTTATTTTGATGTGGTATTATTTTTTGTTCTCTATGATGCAATATAATAACATATTAGGAATAAATGCCAACTATTGATTTTCTTGAGAGTTTGGCACAAATCACGTCAAAAGATTATTGATGTCTGGCACGATCATGAGTTGTGCTTTTTTTGGCTTGTCGGGGTATTTTGCCTAATGGTTAGAACAGAATGGCTATGTGTTGTCGATAATCATAAATAATTTATTTGGCGCTATATTGTTTATCTAATTTGCAACTATATATTCAGGGGCTAGGACGGTTTATAGGAATAATGCACATAATGAGAAGGCTAGAAGTCGTGATTTTTTGGCGTATTACAAAAAAATCCTATAAAGAATCATATTTGAGCCATATTTTTAAATGCAATGATATAGTTATGGAATTTATATCCAGAATATATAAAGTAATATGAAATTGAGACTGAATAAAAAAAATATAAAAAAAATTAAAGGAAATTAAGTAAAAATATGTTTGACATTTATCAAATATAGGTAGAAAATGTGGTGGTACATTTATTATCAAAAAATAGGGTTAAAATTTTTGAATAAAAAAAAATATTCGATTAGAACAAATTATAAAGTGAAAATATAAATCTTACTTAAGAAGATTAATGATTGGTGATATAAAATGCTAAATTTTAATAGAAGCAAAATAAAAAATAAGCGATCTTATATTATTATTAAGAAAACAAACAATTATCTTTTTGGCATAATGGGATGGTCTGTATGCCAAGATTAAATGGATTGAGTTCGAATCAGGACAGTATTTTTTTTGATTTTCGCATTTGATACTCATAATATTAAAATGGGATAAAATTAATGATATATTTATAAGGTAGATTTCAAATATATAAATATCAAAGAAAATTACAAACTTTTTTTTATTTTTTTTTATTTTAACAATAAATTACTCAATTTCGATCAAACAAATGGTTTTATTTCTCTTAATATTCAAATATATATATGAATGCCGATAATGTGGTCGAGATGAACGGTTCGAGGCGGTTTAAAAATGTATGGCCTGCTAGCAAGATGTTACAGCTTGAAGCCGGTTGGGTTCCGAATCTTCGCCTCCTGAGATCTCACGAAGATCGCCCAATTCAGAAAAACGCCTCCCCTTGGTGCGCTTGAGCTGCCTGCCTAGTTAGCAGATCATTTTGTTTTTTGCTTTAGGTTGTTAGCGAGCTTTAAATTGTTAGATCATTGATGCAATGCGTATGAAAATATTCATGCATTAGACAAGAACTTTCTTAATTTGAAAGTAGTATGCAAGAATAGATCGAACAATTTAATAAATAAGTGGGAACCACCTATAAAGTTCTAATGTTGGAAGTGATTCCCATTGGATTAATCGCAAAATGGGGTACTGGTCCGGAATTGGGTTCAGATAGCGGTATTTTGACCGACAAGAGTGTAATATGCACTCCTGTCGGTCACAATGTGTCATTCCGGGAGACATTGCCACTGCATGTCTCCCAGAATGAGACAATTTGTTGCAATGAGAATGTGATTGCAAAAGTTTGACCGACAAGAGTGTAATATGCACTCCTGTCGGTCACGATGTGTCATTCCGGGAGACATTGCCACTGCATGTCTCCCAGAATGAGACAATTTGTTGCAATGAGAATGTGATTGCAAAAGTTTGACCGACAAGAGTGTAATATGCACTCTTGTTTTAATAAATTTTAAATACTATATAAGTATCTTTACATACAATCTTTACATTATATTTTTTCCTAATTAATATTTATTTCATATTTTTTTGTGCTTTATCTAACTTATAGCATGTACTGAACTATTTTACAGACTCTACTGAGCTATCTCAACATATAAACCAGTGAAAAAAAACACATATATACTCACTTCATATTCTGATCTCATGCCATATTATCGCAAAAACTATATTTATACACCACACCTCATAAAACATCATTTTAGCCCTATCTAAGCGTTCAAAACCTATTTTCCCCGCGTAATCTGATTCTTCAGGATCCGCTGATTCGATTTCTGCCGTCAGATCGCGAAAATATGCATTACATAACAAGATATACACAAATTAAAAAAAAAAAAAAAAAAAAAAAGGAAGTGGGGCTTCCAGGCACTTCGTGCCTTCTAGCCCTGAAGATGTTTAGTATAAATGAAGTTCTTATATACGGGTCTTCCAGGAGCTTTTCACAAATTATATATGTTTTCATGTTTTGTCAAGACTTCTTCGTAAAATCAGACAAAAATAATGTTTAGGGTAGAAGGTTAGATATAACCTCTTTTCTAACCTCTTTTCTACCCTCTTGAATTTTCAAGACTTCTTCGTACATGCTTTGTCACTTTTCTGTCACTTTTCGGGTAAAAACATTTTTATTATTATATATAAATGAATTTTACAAAACCTCCGTTACCGTTCTTTGGAAATAAGAGTAGATGTAAAGATATTCTATTGAGAGAACTTAAGAAACTACCGAATGGTCTAACATTTGTAGATTTGTTCGGTGGAAGTTTCTATATATCCCATCTGTGCCATACCGTATTCCCAGACTCAAAGATTATATGCAATGACTTCGACAACTATATGAACCGTCTCAAACA